GTTGAGAGTTTTTATCATGAGTAAATGTTGAATTTTGTCAGATGCTTTCTCTGTGTCTTTTGAGGTGATTATGTGTGTTTGTGTGTGTGTGTGTTTTTCATTCTGTTAATATGGTGTATTTCATTGGTTGATTCCCAGATGTTGAATCATCCTTGCATCCTAGGGAAAAATCCCTCTTGGTCATGGTGTATTATTCTTGTAATATGCTATTGAATTCTGTCTGCTAGTATTTTGTTGAGGATTTTTACATCTGTGTTCATCAGGAATATTGGCCTATGGTGTTCTTTTTTTCTGATGTCTGCCTGGCTTTGGTATCAAGATGATGCCAGGCTCATAAAATGAGTTTGGAAGTGTTCCCTCTTCTATTTTTCTTTTTTCTTTTTTAATTTAAGAAGGATTGGTAATAATTTTGTGGGGATACATTATGCTTTTGTATATTGCTGATTTCAATTGAAATTTTTTCTCAAAATTTCTCTCCCATCCTCTAACTACTATTTATGCTCAGGCCTGAAATTTTCTTTGTGGGAAGAGTTTTATTTATAGATTTAATTTCTATTATAGATATTGCAAAATTCAGACTTTCTATTTCTTTTTGTGTCAATTTTGGTAAGTTGTATTTTCCTGGAAGTGTGTCTAGTTCATCCAAATTTCAAATGTATTAGCATAAAATTATTCATAATGATTCTTTAAATGTTTGTAGAATCTAGAATGATGTCTCATTTTCTCATTCCTGCTCCTGGTAATTTTTGCCTGTTTCCTTTTTTTAAAATCAGACTTTCTGGGAGATTTTAAATGTATTTTCCTTGGGTTTAAATTTTTTTTCAAATTTCTTGATATATATGGTTAATTTACGTGCTTATTTTTTTCTAATAATACGATAGATGATCACATATATTCCCACAAAAGAGTTTTAGCTCTATCATACATGCTTCATTATGTCATATTTTCATTTTAATTTAGGCTAAAATATTTTCTAACTTCCATTTTGATTTCTTCTTTGACCCATAGGTTACTTAAAATATTATTGCTTAATTTTTAAATTTTGGGGGATTTAAAAATATATTTGCTTGTGACTTAACCCCACTATGTTCAGGAGCATTGGGTGTTATACACAAACAATCATGGAACACTACATCAAAAACTAATGATGTACTACTATATGGTGACTAACATTAAATAAATAAATAAATAAATAAATAAATAAATAATTTTTAAAGTATATTCTGTGTAATTTCAGTCATTTGAAATTGTTTTACATTTGTTTTATGATCCATCCTGTGGCAGGTTTCAGTAGTGATTCCATTTGTGTATTCTGTATTATTTGATCTTCTGCATTTTTTTAAAACAATTGATTAAATCAGGTTTGCTTATTATATTCTTTAAATATTCTATATCTCTATTTTTCTTGTCAACTTACTCTATTAGTTACTGAGAGATGAGTTAACATCTTCCTGTATGGTTGTAGACTTGTTCGTTTCTCCTTTTAGTTCTGTTGTTCTATTTCTGTACATATTTTGAAGCTATGTTATTAGATGTTTCACATTTAGAACTTATACTTTCATAGTGTATTTATCCTTTATTGTTATGAAACATCCATCTTTGTGCCTAGTAACAATTCTTGCTTTAAAGACTACTTCAAGTGACATTTATATAGCTTTACCAGATTTCTTTTGGTTAGTGTTTCTCCAGTTTATTTTTTTTACCATCTTTTCACTTTCAACCCTTTGTGTCCTTATTTTCAAGGAATGTCTCTTGTAAGTAACATTTACTTAGGTTTTACTTTTTGATACAATGTGACTCTGTTTATCTTTTATTTGGAGCATTTAGTCTATTTACATTTAATGTAATTAATGACAATTTTAGTTTAAGTCCATCTTATTTAAAATTTTTTGTTTTTGTTTTTTGTTTTCTAAAGATTTTATTTATTTATTTGACAGAGACAGAGACAGCGAGAGCAGGAACACAAGCAGGGGGAGTGGGAGAGGGAGAAGCAGGCTTCCCGCTGAGCAGGGAGCCTGATGTGGGACTCGATCCCAGGACCCTGGGATCATGACCTGAGCCGAAGGCAGCCGCTTAGTGACTGAGCCACCCAGGCGCCCTAAAATTTTTTGTTTTTATATCTGTTAATTATTCCTTTTTTCCCTCTTTCAACATATTATCAACTACTTTAAGTTATTGTCCGTCCCTTCTATTAGCTGAAAGTCACATCTTCTTTTATTTTGTTTTTAGTGGTTACCCTAGAAATTATAGCAGCATGCACATTTGCTCTATTGGAGTCTAATGTAAATTAGACCCTTTTTCCAAATTCTTTTTTTTTGTATCAGCCTTTAGAGATTATTTTTATTTTTTATTTTTTTATTATTATGTTATGTTAATCACCATACATTACATCATTAGTTTTTGATGTAGTGTTCCATGATTCATTGTTTGCGTATAACACCCCATGCTCCATGCAGAACGTGCCCTCTTTAATACCCATCACCAGGCTAACCCATCTCCCCACCCCCCTCCACTCTAGAACCCTCAGTTTGTTTCTCAGAGTCCATAGTCTCTCATGGTTCGTCTCCCCCTCCGATTCCCCCCCTTCATTCTTAATTGAAGAAACTTAGAGCACTATTTCATTTACTCTGCCCACCTTCTGTTACTTTTTCATATATTTTAATTCTTCATTTTTCAATTCCCATTTTCAAATCCCATTATTATTCCTATAGTATTTTCCAACAGCCAATATTCATTTAGATATACTAATATACTTACCATTTCCATAGTCTTTCATTCATTCCAAAGATTCAGACTTCAATATGGAATTATTTTTATTCTACCTAAAAAGCTCCTTCAGTGTTTCACTTACACAGTTCTACTGGTGACACATTCAGTGTCACCTGAAAATGTTTTAGTTTGTCTTTATTCATTTATTTTTAAAGATTTTACTTATTTATTTGACAGAGAGAGACACAGCGAGAGAGGGAACACAAACAGGGGGAGTGGGAGAGGGAGAAGCAGGCTTCCTGCTGAGCAGGGAGCCCGATGTGGGGCTTGATCCCAGGACCCTGGGATCATGACCTGAGCCGAAGGCAGACGCCCAACGACTGAGCCACCCAGGCGCCCCTAGTTTGTCTTTATTTTTGAAAGATATTTTCACTGGGTAGAGACTTTGAGTTTGTCAGTTTTTTGTTGTTTTGTTTTTTTTCAGGAATTGAAAATGTTTCATTTTTCAATGCCTCTAATTCTTACTGTCGCTTCTTAAAGATAATATAATGTTTTTTTCTGTCTTTTTGAATATTTTTTGTCTTTTTTTTTTGCAGTTTCATTGTGATGGGTTTATGTGTGATTTTCTTATATATTTCTTATTTCAGGATTATAGAATTTCTCAAATTTGTGGATCAATGCCTTTCATCTATTTGGGAAGATTCTCATTAACTTTTCAGATATTGCTTCTGATCCATTCTTTTATCTCCTCTCCTTTTGAGACACCAGTCCACATATGCTAGATGCTTTGTCTATTATATATGTATCTAACTGTATTTATCTCTTAAATATTTTCCATATTTTTATCTCATCATATTTAGCAAGAATATTTCTTCAAGTTCACTTACCCTCTGTTCAGGTGTATCCACTCTGCTGTTAAACTTCCCTATGGAGTTTCTAATTTCAATTAGTTCATTTCACAGATTTAGAATTTTTATCTGGTTATTTTTCATAGATTCCATATCTCATGGAAAAGTCTCATATTGCATTTTTTTGGACCATATTATTTGCATTATTTTAAGGTCCATGTGTGATAACTCTAATACCTGGGTACATGTGGGTATTTTTTGTTATCTGTTTTTCTGTTGGCCCGTTTTATGGGCCCTTTTGGTAATTTCTGCTTGACCACTGAACGTTTTGTATGAAAATTCTCCATTTGATCCTTCTCCAGAAAGGAGAAGGCATGTATTTGGGGTGGGGCAGATGTATTCTGGCATGTATTTGGAGTGGGGGCAGATCACCATAATGTACTCAGAAGTTAAGCTCATTGGAAGTTGGGTTTCAGCTTTCTAAGACCTGATCTATTTCCAATTTGCCTTTATTCCTATGGTGCAGCTCTTCAGAAATCCCACTTTAAAACCCATCTCCTGTTGGTTTCTACAAATCACACTGCTTATGAGTCAGCAGCTGCTTAAAGAACATCAGTGCAGAAAGCTAGGCTTACTTGTCTTTACTCTCCTATTTCTGGATTCTTGATCCCTTATGGTCTCCATGTCTTGGTGAGCCTGAATTCCAATTCTTGTCTTCTTAGCCACCTGAAAGGATCAAAAGCTCTGTTAAGCTTCTCTGCTTTTTAGCCATCACTTTCTGCTTGACTTCTCAACCTTTTGTGTTATTTGCAAACTTGCAAATATCTCAGGGGCAAAAAAATCATAGATATCAGTCATTGGGCACATCTCAGTGAGTTTTCTTTATCTCCAAGATCTTAACTCCTTAAGTCTTGGCTCTCTTGGTAGCTCTCTGCTATCTCAAAGCAGATTATTGGGGCGCCTGGGTGGCTCAGTCGGTTAAGCATCTGCCTTCGGCTCAGGTCATGATCCCAGGGTCCTGGGATCGAGCCCCGCATCGGGCTCCCTGCTCCGCGGGAAGCCTGCTTCTCCCTCTCCTTCTCCCACTCCCCCTGCTTGTGTTCCGTCTCTCGCTGTGTCTCTCTCTGTCAAAAAAAAAAAAAAATCTTTAAAGCAGATTATTTGAATATGACTTTTCTAGTTATCCTTGGGAGGAAGATTGGCCTGTTATAAGCTAGGTCATCATAGCTGGAAGTGGAAGTAACCCATAGACGTGTGTGTGTGTGTGTGTGTGTGTGTGTGTTATCAACATAGGTGAAGTCTTGATTTATGAGGTTGTGATTGATTGATTTGACCAACAAAACTTGTAATTGTTATTTCCCCTGATAATTGGTCAGAGTAGAGAAATTCTCATCTAAAATCACAACTGTCATTAAGCTGTGACTTGTTTCCTCTCTTTTCCAGGATTTTGTGTCATGTATTGAGAACTACAGAAGAAGAGGACAGGAACTATATGCATCTTTATACAAAGATCATGTACAGGTAATAAACGAGCTCTTTTCTCTGCACAGAAGACTGGAATCTATCTTGAATCTGAAATAAAGAATCAGAAAGGCCTTCGGTTTAAATTCTAGTTGGCTAAGTCAGTAATTGGTCAGCAGTGATTCAGTTCTTCTTGCATGACCTGTGCAGTGGATTTGGACCCATGCTGTGAGCAGCTGAGGAGACAGGCGGCATGTTTATCCTCTCATCTACTAATTCATCCACTAGTAAATAGGTGTCAAGAGCCCAGGGTGCCTCAGACCCTGTGCTGTGAGCTAGGGGCACAGTTGTACAGAGAACAGACATGGGCCTCACTCTCTGGTAGCTTCACTGTACCTCTCTGGAGAAATATATATTAAATAACTGCACAAATAAATAGATCATTATTACTCATGATAAGCAAGAGACATGGCAAATATAGGTAAGATGAGAGATTATGATGTGGGGAGAATTTAACTTGGGCAGATCAGAGGCCCCTTCCAAGAAAGTGACCATTAAGTTGAGACGTGAAGGAGGAGGAAGATGGGCTGAAGTATTTTGAAGATGTATTTTTGGCTAAGGGAGGACATGTGGGAAGGTCCTGATCAGGAAAAAGCTGGATGTGGCCAGTTAACTGGAAGAAGAAGTGACTGGGTGACCTGAGCTGGGGACAAACAAGGGTGAAGATGAGGCATGACCAGAGAATGCAGGGCTTGCTGCCACCTTAGGGCTTTTGCATTTTCTCCGAAATGCAAGGGGTCACCACTCATCAGGGCAGATTTAAATAGTTAAAACACCTCTCTAGGTGTGATTTTTGGACAGTCAGAATAAAGAGCATTGTCTGTTATGCCAATGAGATCTCTAGTTGAGTCTCAGGTCTGCCTCTTCCCATGCGTGCAGTCTGAACCTCAGGGTCCCCATCTCCAAGACGGGATCATACTGCCTAACTGTGAAGATTAAAGAACAAGTGTAGAGCGCCCAAAAGTAGCTGGAAGGGAATACATGTGTGGTTATGGAATGGCCAAGAAATTCATCTTTAGTCAATGTTGTTGTTAATAAAATGTTGTTTAAAAATGGTTGCTAATAATAGAGCACAACATATAGTATTAAAACCTTACTAAATATATTATTTTCTTTATGATTTCTCTGTTCCAAAGACTATGCTAGGTATAGGAAAAGCAGAGATTATAATGCCACTGCTGTGCCTGAAAGATTCTTAAAACTCAGTAGAGGAACCAAGAGTAGAGAAATAACCCCAAGCAAGGTGATGAAGTCAATACTAGGATGTTCTACTCTAAAAAGAAGAGCAGCAGGGTGTAAGGAACCATGGGCTGTGCCTGGAGTGAGGGGCCAAGGAAGGGTGAAACAGTGGTGCCCAAATGTCAGGGAAACAAAATAGGTTCTGATCAACTTAAGCCAAGTTACCTGGTCTAATTCTCTCTATATAAGCTCATTTAGGAGCCCCCACCTGGCTCTGGGACTAGGGATTCATGAGATGTGCAGCCTGGGCCCCAGAAACATGCAGGTTAGCAACACAGCCTCTCTGGCTATTCTGTAAGGAGGGGGGGCAGTTTATCAGACTTGACAGGGGTGGAAGAGGAGTCTGGGGGACTACAGGACATGCTACTGTCAAAGTGATCACGAGGCATTCTTGTTTCTCTGGCAGCACAGGCTGGTCTTAAATAGACTCTCATTTTGGAGAAGGGCCTCATCAGGGGCATCTCCCCCACCCCAACATTGCTGACTGCACTGCACAGTGGGATGGGTGCCCTGCTGGCTTATTTGCATGTTATCTGTGCCCCTCAGACAGACCCTTGCATATCCAGTGTCCCACCATTTGTATTCACTGACTTCTTTCAGGACAAGCAACATGGCTAATAAATTCAATTGTTATTGGGGGAAAAATAAGATGAATTGTTTAAGATTGCATTCTTTGTTTATGGACATCCTTGCCACACTTGTTCCATTTCAAGACAGAGGATGTTGTTTGTTTAAATGTCCAAATCAGCATCCAGTCAAGAGTGTGAGCATCTCTCTTCTTTTTTTTTTTTAAGATTTTATTTATTTATTTGAGAGAGAATGAGAGACAGAGAGCATGAGAGGGAGGAGGGTCAGAGGGAGAAGCAGACTCCCCGCCGAGCAGGGAGCCCGATGCGGGACTCGATCCCCGGACTCCAGGATCATGACCTGAGCCGAAGGCAGTCGCTTAACCAACTGAGCCACCCAGGCGCCCAGCATCTCTCTTCTTATGGTTGGAAGAGCCTGGGTGATTTGCTTATGGCTAGGAGAGATGTGCTGTGTGGTACTTTGTAAGTTTCTGCTGGAGTTTTTGAGATTGAAAGTTCATGCGGGAAAGAACAGGACCTCAGCAGAGGTTCTGAGCCCAGAAGGAAAGTATACAGCCTTCTAGAACATTCGCCTGGCTCATTTTCAGCAGCGGGACTGAATGGGGTTCAGAGAGTACTTGATAAAGCTGTGTAGAGTTTTACTGTTGGAGGTATTTTTGAGAAAATCAGCATTTTGAGGCTAATCCATAAGGATACTTTCCAAGTGTTTAAATATTTAAGACAGATTGTTTCAATATTTAAAGGAATACAGAGGTAATCACCTCTGCCAGAGATAATGGGGTCTGGAGAATCCACCCTGCTTTTATAAAGGGCAATACATTTTCCCAGTGCAAGCCCCACTCCACTTCCAAAAAAGCCATGTCCAGACTCTGTAAAGAGATCAGACTTGTGAAACCTGCCATGTTCTTCAAAGACAGCTTCTCCCAAGTGTACTCAATGAGGTCTCCCCAGGAGGGTGGTGCTAGTGAGACTCAGGGATTCTGGCCCCACAGGGCTTTCAGTAATAGGTAGTGTAAGACTTCTCTAACTTGGCATTTTACCCACAACTGAGACTTCTCTGCAGATGGCAGGAGCCCACAGCATGACAAGGTCACATTACCCAATGCCCTGGAAGTAAATCCAAGCATCATTATATCCCATCATTATATTACCAGTAAATCAGGCAGTTCTAATATTCAGTCTCCCCAGTTTCTTGTCACTCCAGAAGTACTGGCAAAAACTGTTTCCTCTCCTCTGGCCCTGCCCAGATTCCCCTTTGCCTTTTCCACATTATATTTGTTCTCTTCCTTATGGTCCAGCTGCTCTGGTTCTGCTCTGTTGTATACCCAGACTGTCCTGTTCTTATGGGGAGTCCTTACCATAATGTGCAGAAATGCCTCATTCTTTCTGTGATGTTTTTAAGACATTCCAGGCTTTCCTGGTTAAAGCTCTTTGCAAGAAGTCTTCCATCCCAGAAGTAACCTTTCTTTTAGTATGTGAGAGTATCTGTCGCACTCTTGAGTTCTCTAGGGGCCAACAGGCTGTTGCCATTTCTTGCTCAGTTTCTGTATATCCATCAAGTGTTTGTCACAGCTCTTTCTTTTTTTTTTTAATTTAAATTCAGTTAGCCAACATATAGTTCATTAGTTTCAGATGTAGAGTTCAGTAATTCATCAGTTGCTTATAACACCCAGTGTCATTACATCACGTGCCCTCCTTAATGCCCGTCACCCAGTTACCCCATCCCATCACCCACCTCCCCTCCAGCAACCCTCAGTTTGTTTCCTATAGGTAAGAGTCTCTCATGGTTCATCTCCCTCTCTGATTTCTTCCCATTCAATTTTTCCTCCCTTCCCCTATGATCCTTTCTTATAGTCCACATGAGTGAAACTATATGATAATTATCTTTCTCTGATTGATTTGTTTCATCCAGCATAATACCATCCAGTTCCATCCACATGGATGTAAATGGTAAGACTTCATCCTTTTTGATGGCTGAGTAATATTGCGTTGTATGTATATGTGTGTGTGTGTGTGTGTATACAACACACATATACATATATATCACATCTTCTTTATCCATTCATCTGTCGATGTACATCTTGGCTCTTTCCAAAGTTTGGCTATTGAAAAAATGCTCAGCATCCCTTGGCATCAGGGAAATACAAATCAAAACCAATGAGATGCCACCTCACACCAGTCAGAATGGCTAAAATTAACAAGTCAGGAAACAACAAATGTTGGCGAGGATGCAGAGAAAGGGGAACCCTCCTACACTGTTGATGGGAATGCAAGCTGGTGCAGCCACTCTGGAAAACAGTGTGGAGGTTCCTCAAGAAGTTAAAAATAGAGCTACCCTATGACCCAGCAATTGCACTCCTGGGTATTTACCCCAAAGATACAAATGTAGGGATCTGAAGGGGCACCTGCACAACAATGTTCATAGCAGCGATGTCATTGCTCTTTCAAATGCAAATATCAGAAACTCAGCTCAAACTGGCTTAGGCAGTAAATGAACTATTATGTCGTACTAAAAAATCTAGGGGAAGCCAGTCTTCAAGAAGAGCTGGATCCAGGTACTCAAGCTCTGTTCTAAGCAGTCAGTTTCCTCTCTCTCCCTCTTCCTCTATTTCACACACTCCCACACATCCCCCACATTCACATCAACACACACGCACACCTATGTATGAGATTCCTACATCAAGGCGCCAATGAACATGGATGAGGAGCATGTGAGCTGAGGTGAACTCACACTCTGCTCCTCAGTCTGTGCATCCTAGAAGTAGGCAGGGTTCATGTAAAGCCTGGGAACCACTCTCTAACTGGTACAAAGGCCGTGTCTTCTTGCTGAACTACATGCTTGTGGGCTGTCTCTGCCCTAGGGGGCACCGCCGATGCACATAAAGGCACCCTGGCTCGGGACAGGTGGTCAGACCGTGTACCCATACATCCACCTCTCTGCACTGTCTGCTCCAGATGGGCTGCAGAGAGCACCATTCCGAGTCCCGGGGAATGATGCACACTAGCCCATCCTATAATCACCCTCCACCCCTTGGATTAGCCAGACTTAGATGCCCTTCAAAACTGAAGCCAGGGCTGGGCTCAGCCCCTCCAAAGCATAGGGGACCAAAAGAAGGGACAGGCTGGTTGCCCAGAGGAAAAGCTCATCGATGCTACCCAAAAGTTTCCATTCAGCCCCAAATCATAGCTACCTCTAACATACCAGAAACCCTGCCTCTGAGTCTCTGGTGTGGCATTTGGCTCAAGCTTTAAGCTGAAAGAGGACCTTACCTGGTGCAGAACCATGGGCATCATAGAGCACCTTTCAGGTGTGGGAACTCAGGGCTTTTGCTGTTTGGACATCTCATGTCCTCTGTCCTGGGACTACTTGTAGATTTCTATCATGGACTAAACAATCACTCATCTCTGAGGGGTCTCAGCACTGACACATATCTGTCTGGCCACAGGTATTCCAGACAACTTATTTGCCCTGTGATGAAGACTCAGGCAGCCGTGAACCCGCAGGCTGTATAGGTAGATCTTTTGGGGTGAAGAGGATATTCTTAAAAGACTAATTTTAAGGCCAGGGTGAACATTGTTTGGCATTGTTCATCCTCTATGAAACTCTATAGGTTATTCCAAACCCAGCAGCAATCTCCAGGGAGCTGAAGTATTTTCCCCAAATGAGTATTCATTTCATATAACCTAATCCCTATAAAAGGCTTTGGACAGACATTATTTTTCTGGAGTTCCTTATTAACCAATCAGAGTATTATGTAAAATGCTGTAACTATTTTGGATATGAATTTAAGAACTGTGAAGGGCGCCTGGGTGGCTCAGTTGGTTAAGCAACTGCCTTCGGCTCAGGTCATGATCCTGGAGTCCCGGGATCGAGTCCCGCATCGGGCTCCCTGCTCGGCGAGGAGCCTGCTTCTCCCTCTGACCCTCCCCCCTCTCATGTACTCTCTCTTTCATTCTCACTCTCTCAAATAAATAAATAAATCTAAAAAAAAAAAAAAGAACTGTGGAGAAACAAAGTAATCTTGCTTTGAAATAGGATTTGCTTTATTCACAGTAATAATACTGTTTATGAGGCAAGTCACCACATAAAACTCTTGAAAATATTGTCTCATTTAAGCCCTACATAAACCCATGGTCTTATTATTACTGTAATATTATTAACTGCATTTGATGAGGGGGCTTCAGCTTCCTAGACTACTAGGGAATAGCAGAAACATCATGACAACCCAGATTCATCTGACGCCAAAGACCGTGGACTAAGCACTGTGTTGTCTGTTATATATATTTTTTAAGATTTTATTTATTTATTTGAGAGAGAGAAAGAAAGAGAGCACAATCAGTGGGAGGAGCAGAGGGAGAGGGAGAAGCAGACTCCCTACTGAGCAGGGAGCCTGACGCAGGACTCGATCCCAGGACCCTGAGATCATGACCTGAGCTGAGGGCAGACACTTAACTGACTGAGCCATCCAGATACCCTGTCTGTTATATTTTTCATGGGAATTTTCTAGTTCCAAGAATGACTTACCTGTCCCAAATGGCCCAGATTTATAGGGCCTAGCTCTAAGTCTGCCATGCCAGTCTTTGAAGTAGTAGCATCAGAAATCATGAGTTAATAGAATGACATCAGGCCCTCAGGAAAGGAACTAGCAGGCAGGCTTAAACAGAGGTTTTGGATTCAGATGGACTGGGTTTGAATCTCAGCTCTATCATATGGTGATCTTTGGAGAAATCATTTCTCCTCTCCCAGACTTGATTTCTTTATGAGGATAGTAGAAATTCTTAGAAGTTTCAAGTGTCACTCACGGTGCCACTGGGTAGAGGAAATGAGATACAGCAGGTGAGGGGCTCAGCCCTAATATATGATAATGATTTTTTTCTCTTTATGTTAAGTTTATGAGATCCGTGCTTCTTGTCATTAATGCTTTCACCTTTCAGTTTTCTGAAAACTTAAAATCAAAATATAGGGCAAATACCATTAAGTATTTTTTTTTTAAAGATTTATTTATTTGAGAGAGAGAATGAGATAGAGAGAGCATGAGAGTGAGGAGGGTCAGAGGGAGAAGCAGAGTCCCCGCTGAGCAGGGAGCCCGATGTGGGACTCGATCCCAGGACTCCAGGATCATGACCTGAGCCGAAGGCAGTCGCCTAACCAACTGAGCCACCCAGGCGCCCCTACCATTAAGTATTTGAATAATTGGAAAAGTTCACCCTGCAGACAAAGCTGATTCCACTGTTGAAACTGACAGGTGTCAAAGTTCTCTTGTCGGGTGAGGTCCAAAACTTCAGTGTGGCATACAAAAGCAGTTTAGGGGTGTATTTTATAGAAGGTTTGAGTTACACTGTAGCAGAAGGTGTGACAATGTAGCATCACATATGCAGACTATGAAGATTTCATAGGTAAGGGATTATTTTCAGTAATATCAAAGGTTTTAGCTTCTATGAACATTCTAGAATTCTTCAACATTCTAGAGTCCTATGATATTAGGATTTAAAAGACCCTTAGACAATATCTAGACCAAACCTCTTATTCGTCACTTGGAAAAGCTGAGGTCCAGAGACAGGAATGACTTGTTCAGATCTATCAATTGTTGGCAGATCTGCTAATCCCCCACACCTCCAGTCCAGACACTGACAGGAGTATCCTCAGCATCATTTTTGAAGGATAGGGTCTGTGGTAAAATTCCCTGTCCATTTTGAAGAGTAGGGACTGTGGTGAGATTCTGTGTTCTGTTTATAAAAGAGCTGTCCAGTCTACTCTGATGAATAGTCTCAGGACCTTTGGGACCAGTTGTGCTCTGCACAGCACCCAGCAGTCACATTGCTCTGAAGGCCAAAAGGCATATGGTTTTCTCCTCCTCCAACCTGGATTAAATGGTCTCAAAGCTAAAAAACTGATCCCTTCTCCTGGCCTGTTCCTGGCTCCAGGGTACATTACACACCCTCAGGGTGCTCAGGGTCACCTAGAGGGGGTTATTTTTCTCGAACAATTAAGAGGGCTTGGTCTGTTCACCCCCCAGAGGTTTGGGGCCAAGGCCATGAGAAAATGTGTATAGGAGTGACCCTGTACTTCTGCTTCCCAGAGACAGAGATGTGACATAATCAAGGCAGCCAATGCCTGGGCCAGGATTCAGGAGCAGCTCTTTGGGGAGCTAGGCTTGTGGGGCCGAACAGCAGAAGCCACACTTTGCTCCAGGTGGGAACTGGACTGGAGAGAAGGACCAGCTCGCATGAGGAAACGCATCAGACGCTTGTCTCCGCTGGAGACCCTGAGTCTAGAAAGGCTCAAGGTAAGAGTTTGATGTAGCAAAACAATGATGCTTCCAGGCAGGAAATGTGTAGGGAAGTGTCTCCTTTGCTTTTCCTTCTCATGTTCCTTTCATCAGGAGTGCTTTGGGAATGCTTTGACATGGGCAGGCAGGAGAGCTCATGTGCACAGTTAAATGTAGGAGTGCTGTAATTAATTTTTGATGCCATTTAACAGAATAAAAGAAACACTCTTCTCCCTGGTACCTAGAAAGGATGCTCTAACTACAGCCTGATTGAGTAAGTAAATGAGTGAGTGCATGACTAGTGGAGTGGTTCATATTGACACCACTAACCCAGTACCGCACCGACATCCAGAAAAGTCCAGTGGGATAATCTGGACATCAGTGTTTGCAAAGAGCCAAGTGATGGCCATTGTCTGTTTGTACAAATTATTTACCATGGAGCAGTCATAACCAGCGCTGCTATGGGCATTATTGTACAACCAATCTCGTAACAAGTTTTACAATGGAAATATCTTGAACTCAGCAATTTCTGCAAGCTTGAGCCTGTGACCCATGTAATCCAAACAGCATTGAGGCCATATTGGATTCCCAACCAACGGAATCTAGGTAGTCCCTGGGAGTTTGCTGTGATGAAGTTTGAACTCTGTGTCATCAAACTGACAGTGTTGCCTTTTAAAGAATGGGGAACCAGTTGGATTAGGAGTGGATATGGAAAAATCTGTTAATAGTTTTTTCATGTCCTCGTTGAACAATTCTGATTCAAGATATTCTAAAAGGCAGCCTTCCAAACACTGGAATGCAAGACATTTCCTTCTACATTCAGATTTATTCTCTAGTCTGTAACCTCAGGATCTTTTATCCACTTTAAATCCTTTATAAAACAATGAAAAAAATTATATTTCATTTGTTCAGTAGACACTTGAATTTTTAATGTACTATCAATAAATCTCTGGTTTTATGTAGTATTTTTCCCTCAATACATTCCTTAGGAAGTGAGGAAGGAAAAGTAAGTATCCTGCCCTCTCTGCTAGTGACAAAGTCAAAAGCTGGCTAGAAAACCTGGTCTCCAGTCTCTCAGGCTGCCCAGCCCCAGATCCTGTGCCTGGTCCCCTCTCCAGGGTGGCCCATACCACAGACATCCGGGATGCTATTGAATCCCATTTTGGCATCATCTTTGGTAATTACTGTAAGTCCTACTTAATGGAAGATTGTGGGTTTTTTCCCCTTTGACTCGGGACCATGAATACTTGCATTTTATTGTGGTCCTTTAGGATTTAGCATCCCTCCCTACTTGCATCTAAGACTCCAGTATATGAGTAATTCCAGGGGGTCACATGCATATGTGTGTGTTTATGGGTCTGTGTGATGGGGTGGAGGGCACAGCAGTAGTCTTCAGGATGTCATTTCTCTTTTCTCTGGTTTTATTTCAGGAAAACCAAGACAGAAATGGCAATGTTTCAGAAACAGATGTTGAAAAACAAGGTATTCCATTTATCAGTTTACCTATTTTTCATTCATAATTAAACCACTTTTGGTTTTACTTAATATGAAATTAATATTTTGAAGAAGAAAATGCTGCCAGTCTAAAGTAGGTAATGCTAAGACTCTTTTCCTTACTGTGCTCTCCAGAATGAGGAGGAACCTATTCCAGACCTTGGCTCTCTGTTAGGTAAAGAATTTTATGTTAAGGCTGTAACAGTAAGAATTTTATCTTGTCAATTTGCTATATCAGAGAGATCTTAAAAGTGTCCTCAAGTAATACAAATACACGCTTAGTATGTGACCCAAAATACATGGGAAGAAAATGCTTTAAAGTAAAAATGGGTAAAAGAAATATTTAGTACTTTTTACACTGAATTCTGATTATAAAAATGACAGCTACAATAATCATTATTATTTCCCAGGCTAAAAAAAAATACTTCGAATCATTTTTGATGCTTACACTTACTCTTTATTTGTATAATTCTCATGGAGGAATTTGGTTGAGTTGGCTTGCTGGAAATCCAGGGTTTATTTTCAGAGGTCATTTGGCATGAACACATCCAAACATACACGCACACACACACAAATACAACCTGCAGACACACACAGACATATGCACTCTATTCCAGATTTTGTGTTTCTACCACACTGTGCCTTTTTTCTTCAAACACTCCCTGTCTGTGAGTTTCATTGTCTCCTGAGGTGTAGCTAGTGTGGTATCCTTAACCAAATGACAACTTCTGAGCGCTGATCTAACTTGTCTCATTTAGTGCCTGAGTACTGGATTTTGCATTGAATGTGCTGTCTTGCCAGTCTGCAGTAATAGCGCCCAGATGTGAGGGTGCTGGGCCCTGATCCCAGGTTGATTTGGGGGTCCCTGTGGCATAGGACTTGGGATAATGTTGTAATGCCCATTTGCTTCTCTTCTCTTTACCCCAAGCCCCACAGCTCCAAGAACAGAGGGGGAATCTGCAGAGATGGTGGTGGTGGAAAGCATGTGCTGGTGTCCTGTGGGCATGGGCTGCTGAATCTCCTCGTCCCAATACACAGACCCCTGCCCCAGTAGGGAGCTCAACCAGGGAAGAAGAAGAAAGGGCTTATGGTTCTCCCCTGTGCTTTCCTGGGTGTCTGTTTATATACGGTGTTCTCCCCGCATGGGGAAAAGCCTGTGGTGGCTGTTGCTGTAAGCAGCACACACTTCCATTCATCCAGTTGGGAGACTCCCAGGTGAGGAGGAGCTCAAAGAGGTGAGCATCTTAACACAAAGAAAATGGCCAGTAGCCCCTCAACTTTGCAGTCATGTGCCATGCACCTGCCTCCTTTAGGAGAGTGGACATCTAGGACAGGGCGGGGGAGTAGGATCCAGAAATCATGTAGGTCTGCGCTCAACAGGCACCCAAATGTCTGTGCCCGGGAGTGCATGCTTGGGAAATAAGTCTAGGTGTGCACACGCATGATCGCAGCACAATGCATTCATGGTAGAAATAGAAACTGTCTGTGCCTCCAAAAAATTGGAGATGGATTAGGTGATTATGAAAGAGCCACAGAATAGAATGTTATACAACCATTTTAGGTGAGTTCAAAGAGCTTTAAATGGAATGAGAAAGTGTTCCTAATACAGTCTTAAAAAGTTCTTGAAAAGATGGGGTGCCTGGGTGGCTCAGTCAGTGAAGCATCTGCCTTCAGCTCAGGTCATGATCCCAGGGTCCTGGGATCGAGTCCCACATTGGACTCCCTGCTCGGCAGGGAGTCTGCTTCTCCCTCTCCCTCTGCAGCTCCCCCTGCTTGTGCTCTCTCTCTCTCTGTTAAATAAATAAAATCTTTTTAAAAATTCTAGAAAAAAAAAAAACTGTAGATGCGGCATAATTCCTATCATGTCAAAAAATCACGTGCGTGTGTGTGCACGCACGCACATACACACACATATACATATACATTTGGAAAAGATATTAGAAGTAAAGAACTTGTTCAAATTGTGAACAGGGAGGAGAAACAGACTTAGTTCAGATTCGGCCTCTAGTTCTTTGTGACCATATGACTTTGAGCAAAGTAATTAGCCTCTTTCACTCTTCCCTGATTGTGAAGGGAGGTTGAAATAGAATCCACAACCTGATAGGAGTAGATGAAAAAAATGTCATCAAAAGCATCCAGCACAGAGAAAGAGCTTACTTACTACATCCGAGCTGTTGTTATTAGTACTATATCTGGGTGCATGAGTGATACTTGTTTTACTTCTCAAATATTTTAAATTTATTCTCACAATTTCATGGGTTTTCCAAGTTTTGTTTTGTTTTTGTTTTTTTTTTTACACAAGATCATAGTGCATCCATAATTAGAAAAAAATAGAAAAAAAAAACCCACTCTTTTAAAAGAATGAATAAAGTAAAGTTCAGAAAGAAACAGATTCTAAATGACCCTAGAAGGAATTTCTCTACTGATTAATAAGTGTGAATTTTGAAGTAGTGCCCCGTGGTCACACTGGACCTGCAGAGCAGCTGGACCTGGGCACACCTTCCAGAGTGAATCAACCTAACAGTGTGTTGACCACACCACAGAGTCAGAGAGGTGACGCCCACTTTCAGACACAGTGAGGGACACGCTGAGATCCACACCACTCACCTCTGCCCTGAAACCTTGCAGTTTCTCTCGGTGACTCATGCCCATGCTGTGCACATCCCTCGTGAGGTCAGGTGGCTCGTGCCAAAAATGTGTGTCCCTTTATACTGCTGCAGATGAGCTGACACCAAAGGAAGCCGAGAGCAGGAGAGAGGAGGTGGCGGTGGACTGCACCCAGCTGACCTTCTTCCCTGCCTTACATGAAAGTCTGCACTCTGAAGATTTCTTGGAACTGTGTCGGGAAAGACAAGTTATTTTACAAGAGCTCCTTGATCATGAAAAGGTAATATAGCACATCACGATTCTTCTTTAAAGATCATCAGACATGAGATCAAGCTTTCTTCATTCACATGGGAGGTGATGTTTCTCTTCACTATAAAAAAAAAAATGAGCAAAAAGAGCAGGCATGCTTCTAAATTGGTGGGCCCAGAGCAAGGGCACAAATGGAAGCTGACAAACCCTGCATCAAGATGTTTAAAAGATATAAATCAAGGGGCATCTGGGTGGCTCAGTTGGTTAAGCGTCTGTTTTCAGCTCAGTTCATGACCCTGGGGTCCTGGGATCGAGTCCCGCATTGGGCTCCCTGCTCAGTGGGGAGTCTGCTTCTCCCTCTGCCTGCTGCTCCCCCTGCTTGTGTTCCTCCCTTTCGGATGCCTACTTTTGTATCTTTGGAACTGTGATGCCTACTTTTGTATCATGGAACTGTGATGCCGCCAGCTTTGCTTTTCTTTTTCAACATTCCTCTGGCTATGCGGGGTCTTTTCTGGTTCCATACAAATTTTAGGATTATTTGTTCCACTT